AGCGCCGGGGCTTTGGAGGTAAAAGACAGAGAAACAAGACCTCCAGTCAGCCCTGCTCTGCTTTCCCTCTCTCTAACGGTCAGTCCAGCTCTAACTGATATGTCTGTCTTTCTTTCTCAGCAGTTGCTGTTGGTGGCGAGGAGGAAGAAGAAGAACAAGGCGTCTTCTTATGTGATCTCAGCGGCGAGACTGACGAGGCTGAAAGCGTTACATTTTGTTCTGTGTAGAGCTTAAAGAAATAGACATTTAAAAGTCAGTGAAAATCAGTGCAAGTCTATGAGGAACACTTACTTCTGGGGAGTTTGCAGTGGCTTTGTATGATTACAGTAGGAGTTATGCGCAACAAACTTCCGTATTCTGTAAAACAGGTCGCATCATTTCCGGTTCTTGAGCTACCTTCAATATGATGCTACCATTCAGGAGCTCCCAAAGATGAGCATAACCGATGTCCATCGCATATGCAGGTTGACATCTAAAACTCCTGCCACCAAAATGGATAAGGGGTTTAAGCTATATGCTTCCTCATACACATGCGACTACAAGGGTGTTTATCTGCTAACGTTAGCTAGCTAGCTAGCTAACGCTAGTAGTTCCGAATAGGGATCATGTAGTATGTCACTAGCTAGCTAACATTAACTAGCTAATTTTAATTGATAGAAAACTTGTCACTGTGCAAATTTCAGATTTTTTTATTGCCAGCCATAGACCCACATAATTACATTGTCATTTATTTGTCTCCAGTATCAAACAAAGAGGCTGACTGGTGCTGTCAGCATCAGGGCAGGGTGCTACAGGTCTATGAGAAATAGCGAGAAGCCTCACAGCCTGAGAGTAATGTTAGGGATGGGTTGGGTTTTCTGTTCGAGTTCTCTCCCAGACACTTGGTCTAGTTGCCGGCAGAGAGTAGTTGTTCCAGGCAAACAACAGAGGCACAGCCCCCTCTTTCAAGAGTCGTTGCCCACCTTGAACGATATCCGTGGAGAGGAAATGTCTACTACAGACTGTCATGGTCCTCTTAATTACCAAATTCTCACGTCTCACATTACGTATCCATATTTTTCTTAAGGTTTCGTCCTTTGGGAAATGTGGAAGCTTACAGTGGAGTTGAATTTCCCTGACATTGGGCATTGAGGTATACAGCAGAAATCACTGTCCGGATTATCCCGCTTCTGGTACTTTATAGGTCTTGACGAAGACATTTTCTTCTCCTCACAAACATTCAGATATTTAAATCTAATAAAACTCCAAAAATAAAAAGGGACTAGCTAGGTCAGCTGGTTAGCTAGGATAACTGAAGTCCCTACAGCCCATACTGTTTTTACCGCCTTCTCCGACAAGCGGATGTGATGAGACCAGTTTTCCGGATTGGTCATGTGACCTTCGGCATAAAGCCTGTTACAGACTGTAGTCCCTCTGTTGCTGCACCTCTCTATATTACATATTACATCATCACTAAAATATTATTACATTATTGATCATTCTTAGGAATTTTCAGCCAAAGTTTTTGGTGCTATTACATGATCTGTCTTACAAGATTGTTTATTAATATCTGTGTGTATATTTATCGTTAAAGTGGTCTTTATTAAAGAAAATGAAGAACAATCAGGGAGCAGAGCTGATTAAACTGGAGAGTAAAGCACCGGCGTGGGACAAGGAGCAGGGAGCGTATGTGATGGACTTCGATAGACGGGTCTCAAAGGGCTCAGTAAAGAACTGCCAGCTCGTCTGCCCTGACAGTCATGAGTTCAGCAGCATTTTCTCTCAGTGTGTCTGTGTTTGGATGGATGTTTTTCTGATTGTGTCTTTACCTTCCCTCTCCGTCTCTCTCTGTCACTCTTTCTCTCTCTCTCTGTCTGTCTCTCTCTGCCGTAGCTGTTTAGCTATCTTTCTGTTTTGGTGGTCTCTCTCTCATGTTGGGGGTTTGACGAATCTCTTTCTTGTCTCCACAGCAGACGAGTTGGTGATGCAGTTCGGTCGTACGGATGTCGATTGCTTTGTGCTGGACTACAGCTCCCCCTTGTGTGCGCTGCAAGCCTTCGTCATCGCCCTGTCCTGCTTTGACGAATGACCTCAGTGCCGTCTTACACACGTGCTGTCCACATCTCTCTCTCTCTACGTTACATCCTCTTCAACCTTCAATAAAAGCAATAAGACTACGGAAGTGCATTTACTGATAAAAATGATGAGAGTGCAGCTTTAGCAGGTCCAAGGTGGTTGCTAAGGTGTTGTCAGATGGTCACTGTGATATTTTAGGAGGTTGCTAGGGTGTTGCTAGGTGGTTGTTATGTTATTCTAAGTGGTTGCTTGGACTTGCTAGCTGGTTGCAGTGGTTGGTTTGGAGGCAGCGTTCATGTGAAGCACACGGTGGGTGTTCCTAATAAAGTGGCCAGTTAGTGGAAGCTCAAGGTAGGTGTTTCTAATAAAGTGGCCTGGTAGTGGAGGGCACAAGGTGGGTGTTTCTAATAAAATGGCCTGTTATTGGAAGCACAAGGTGGGTGTTTCTAATAAAGTGGCCTGTTCGTGGAAGCACAGTGTGGGTGTTTGTAATAAAGTGGCCAGTTAGTGGCAGCACAAGGTGGGTGTTTCTAATAAAGTGGGCATTTGGTGGAAATACAAGGTAAGTGTTTCTAATAAAGTGAGAGAGTCGGGCTCCTGCGTTTATGAGCAGCACCCTCTCTGGCATTGACAGCACATTGAGCCGCAGGGAGTTCTTCCACGCCTGAAGAGGAGGACACAGCACTCAGTGTCCCCACTGTGGCAAACCGATGGAGAGGACGCAGCCCTAAGAGAGAGCCAGGACGGCAGACATTCTGAAAACACGTGCTGCAGAGAGACCCTCATGTGCCCCAGGGACAGTGCTCACACTCTGCAAGCTTGCCACGGCAGCTGACCTTTGAAGGAGGTTGCCACACGGCTGTAGTAGCACGGGAGGTGTGGCCTTGCAAAGCAGCCATGCGTACAGGCTCTCAGGAAGCGCCATGCTCGCAGTAGGAGAGACAATTATTGTAGGTAAGTTGTTGTTAGCTTAACATAAGCAGCAGTGTTAGTTGTGCTATTCTGTTCGGTGATGGGTGTTGGGTTGGGTTGGCGTCTACTAAGGAGTAGAACTGTACGACGAAAAGTGACCTGCTTACTCTCCCAGCCACTTGGATAGCACTGAGCAGCAATTCTTTTCTGTTGACTGTTCAATAAAAGAGCAATAGGCCTTATTCACTAACCATTCTTAAGAAACTCCTTCTTGAAACCCACTTACGCAGTTTTCACAAAAACTCTGGCATTCACCAATATTTTCTTATTTGGGATTTGTTCTTATGTACGAACAGAATCTACACGCTCAAGAGCACAAAGGTGAGAACAGTTCTGTGCTTTGTCATGGCTTATATATTCAGTCATACACTCCTACAGCAAATAATGCTCAGTGATATATACATAGAGGAGATATGTTTAAAATATATACCTAGAGGTAATATAGTCGGTACAGCTAATAATGTTCAGGGTAGATAAATTTAAAAACAGTAAGTTAACATATCCACTACAAAGAACACACTAAAATGTGGCATTTTCTGCAAAAAATAGTTTATTTGCTGGTTTAAACATATTTAAAAAATGAAGCATAACACACACAATATGGACAAAATTATTGGGACACTTACACATTACACCTACAGGAGATTTTTTTATTTAAATCCACTAGCATTAATATAGAATTGGTCCCCCTTTGCAGCCATAACAGCTTCCACTCGTCTGGAAAGCTTTCTACAAGATTTTGGAGTGTGTCTTTCGGAACTTTTGCTGGAAGTTGGAACAGAAAAGGGTCTTCTTCAAACTGTTCCCACAAAGTTGGAAGCATACAATTGTCCAACATGTCTTGATATGCTGAAGCATTAAGATTTCCCTTCACTGGAACTAAGGGGCCACTCAACAGAAATCGGCTTACACTGCTCCAGTGGCGACACAGTCCAGTCCAGTGGCGTGCTTTACTCCACTCCATCCGACTCTTGGCATTGTGCTTGGTGATATAAGGCTTGCATGCAGCTGCTCAGCCATGGACACCCTTGCCATGAAGCTCCCAGCTAAGGTTTTGCGCTATGGTAAATACCAGAGGAGGTTTGGTTACTGAGTCAGCAAGGCATTGGTGACTTTAATGCACTCAGCCTCAGCACTCAGCGACCGGCTCTGTAACTTTATGTAGTCTGCCACTTCGTGGCTGAGTTGCTATGGTTCCTAAACACTTCCACTTTTCAAAAATATTACTCACAGTTGATCGTGGAATATCTAGGAAGAAATTTCCTAAACTGACTTGTTGCAACGGTGGCATCCCATTACAGCACCACGCTCGAGTTCAGTGAGCTCTTTAGAACAACCCTTTTTTTCCACAGTATTTGTAAAGGCAGACTGCAAGGCTAGAGGCTTGATTTTATACACCTGTGTCAATAGGACTGAATAAAACACCTGAATTAAGTGATTAAAAGGTGTGTCCCAATACTTTTGTCCATATAGTGCATGTGCTAAAGTTTGGGTTAAACAGGCATCTACTTAGACACCTGTAGAAACCTTTGACCTTCAACTTGAGTTTATACTTACATTTTATTCAAATAAATAAACATTATTTTAATAATTTCACATTTTCAATTCCACATTTCTCCTTAAGTCAGACCACCTGACATGGTAAACTGAACCGTTCTAACCACGCCTAAAAATCACATTTTTACTAAATCTGTGATCTTGGCATTGCACCATGAAGGTCACTCGGGGTCTTCTTTATGATGCAATACCTTGGACCTTCTTTGTAAAAGCGTTGGAGGCAAAAAGAACCTAAAATGAAGTTTATATGGTTGAACTGAAAACTGTTTTACATAAAAGAGGTATTGTTAAATAATCTGATGTATGTCGTATTCATTCAAATTATTTTCTGGGAAAATAATAGAGTTGGACACAAAAAATGCACATCATTAATGAAAATAATGAATAAAATTAAACAAACGTAACATACAGAGACATTTTCGATACCATCTCTTCATTTATTAGATGTACAATTATGAAAAATAATAATAATCATAAAAAAAGACTGGAAGCCCAAGGTTATGTACAATCGTTCTGTACTACATACGCCATAGCGAGTCTCTTTGAGAGATTCATCTCAGACCCAAACTGTCCACCAACTCGGCCTGATATGTTGAGCTTTAAAAACAAAAATCATGATCGAAAACAGAAAGAAAGACAAAAAACCTTACATACATACATATACATATACATACATATATATATATATATAGAGAGAGAGAGAGACAGATATATATATAAAAGCTGAATCATTCAAGTATCAAAATACACACTGCCCAACATTACTTTACAGTCTATTATTGTTCATATTCTTAGCAAAGTCATTAATATAATCAAAAAAACGTTTACTCGCAAACATGAGTAACAAACGTGCAAACACTGCAGCCGTTAGCAGGTGTTAGCGTTAGCATCGGCCTGCGTTTAGCACTGTACCAACCAAAAGAAACACAACCAGACGTAAAATATCTTTTTTTCAATTTCCTGTAAACTAGGATTAAATGCTTTAAGTACCACTTCCTGTCAACTACAACTAAACGCTTAGAAGAGAGCCGAGCTGTTTTTCCCATGTTTATATTCCTAACTTTTTGTCTTTCAGTATCGATTAGCAATCATGAGATGTTTAACTTATTTTTATTATTATTGTTATTATTATTAACCAACTTCTTCAAACAACCCAGATATTCGGATTTCAGCTTTTAAATAAATACAAACTTTGCAGATAACAAACATCAGCCAGTCGCATTTTCTTAAAGCTGATTCGCTGTCATTCATTATTTGCAATGTTAGCATTACTGATCGAGCAATTCGGGTAAAGTAACAATCTTTCAACAGAAGGTTTCTAGTGTTGCTTTATCTCCAAGTTCATCTGATCCAGAATCACAGTTTACAATAATAGAGTTACTAAGAGGAGCAGAAGGAGCTCTGAACGTACCGCTCAGGATTTCACGCTAAAAATAAACAACAAAACAGTCTGAGTATCGTACCGTGTCACGAGATCCGGCTCGGTGAGGACTTACAGAACAGTTTCTGCAGATCTGAGACTGAAATGTTTCACTTCAGTAAACATTTTCAACAAAAACTGAAACTTGGAGAGATGATGGATGAGGTAAAACATACAAGTGGGGTCTGAAAGTCTCTGAGCCCTGTGAGAAAGGGGGATTTTTTCATTTAAAACTGGAAATAAACAACTGAAATTTGTAGAAATTTGAAACAGAGGAGATATAAGAGGAAATACTGAGATCAACTATGTTCAGATCTTTTAACTTGTTGAGAATCTGCTCGTCACAAACGTTTACCTTAAAATATTTCAAAGTTTCTTTTTTTGCTATGCAAATAATTTTGATGTAAAACTGCATAAAATTAGAAAAAAATGCTAATGCAAAGCTTTTCCGCTCATGCTTTCTGACTTTCGGACCCCACTGCACAACAAAAGCAAACAAACAAACGATGGGGAACAGTGTTTGTGTGATGGACGCAACTGGCCTCTAGATGTTTCCTGATTGGCTAATAATAGAAGTTAAATTCACATTATTGTCCCCAGCTGGACTAAATCTTAGTAAAGATAACGAACAGTGTGGGTGTGGTCATTAGGACAGTGCTGCTGCTCTCCAGTGTAGGAAATCGAGGTCACTCGGCTCAGCTGCTGGTCCAGATTAACACTGTTAGTGGACACAGTGGGGTGGTGGATGGAGGACACACACTAAACCTGGTAGTGAATTATGTGAACAGTCCTAGCCGTGCTACCGGTCCCGTGGGGGGGGTTTGGTGGTCAGCTAAAGGAAGACACAAACACACAGGGGTTAGAGTAAATAAACCAAAAATAAAAAACAAAAGCAGGACCTGTGACACAGAAACTCTCTGGGGGAGACAGGAGGGACAAAAAGACGGAAACGAGATGGAAAGGGGTTAATCTGTCCAAAATCACCGACAGTGGCCCAACTGACCGTCTCAGACTTGCAGGAAATGATGTCATCAGCTGCGTTTCTTTGGGTCCTTTGAATATTCATGGCTCTGTATAGAACCATTGTCTTTACTAAAGAACCATCATTTGTAAGTCTGTACATGAAATTAGAGATAGAAACATAAATACAACTTTCTTTATGAATAAAACAAAACGTACAAAAGTCCTCAGCAGGAAGTGATGTTGTTATGGTTTTATCGCTTTAATAAAAGTCAGTCTGTTTTTTTTGCAAAACGTGGATGGAAATGGAGCTGATGAGCCCAATAGGACAGACAGAGTAGACGTCCAGTCTTCTGTCTCCATCAGTTTCTCAGATATTCAGGCTCTGTAATGGTGGGTGTGGCCTTTAAATGACAGACTTCAACCTTCTCAGTGAAGGCTGGTGATGTGAGACAGATTCCCCCAGAGAAGAAGACAGAAGGGAGGAAACAAAGAAGAGTGAAGGTTTCATTTCAGAGCTGCTACAGATCAGCTCCTGCAGACTGATCTGAGCCGCAGGGTGTTTTGGTGAAAGTGCTTTGACTTTGGCTTTGGTCCTTCCAGGTCAGAGATCTCCTCCAACATCACTGACGTTATTTCTGGCTGAAACAGTCATTATTTGGCGGAACAAAGTCAGATTTAGTGCTGAGAGAAATAAATCACTCTCAGACATGTCACAATTCACTCTCAATTCTTCAATGATGCCCAAAATGTCTCAGAATTTCACGAGCACTGCATCCAAAACCACACACCACACCCTTAAAGACAGTTCTCACTCAGAACTATGAGTTTTATATAGAACAATTTCAGGTTCTTTGCATGATGAAATGGTTCTTCAGGATGATGGAGAATGAGTTGGTTCTAAAGAGCACCTTAAAGGTTCTGCTACTGTAACAACAGAACCAGCACATTCTCCAACAATCTAAACAAAAACACTGCCTTTATAAAAACCCTTAAAGAACCATCTTTTTTAAGTAAACACCATGTCAAAAGCAGTCACCATTATTAGTTTGGTACAGAACAGTGGTGTGAGGTTTGGGACACAGACACAAACTTTTTAGTCATTTTTATTATATTTATAAACTTAAAATATCCACAGTGCTGAACAGCGCTGATGAGAATGTTATCGTTTTCAGTTTAAACCTGCTCGGTTAGTGAAATGTAAAGACTGTAAAGAACTGTACATGTATCGTGTGTTGGCTAAATTTGAATGACAATGAGCTAATGCTACTAGAAGATGCACAAAATCATAATTTAGGCCATAATTTAGCCTTTCACGATCATAATACATTTGCTGACCATTAACTCCCTTATAAATAACTGTGATTAATAATCATAAGCGCTGTCAGAACAGAACCGTGTAAATTTTACAGGAGAGATAAACACATCCTTAACCCTTAACCCAGAGTATTAAGACTGGCATGCATTAATATACTGTATATGTCCAATACTATTAAAATATAATATACAAACCAAATGTGAATGTTTTGCTTTTATAAAAACATGACAAATCAGCCACATTCCTTTACTAGTAGGCCACCACTATCACACTGTGATGATATCATATGGTTACAGAGGAGTCGGTCCTATGGGAAATAAGACAAAAAGCTTTTCTCTTGAATAATGTCACATTCTAGCTAAAGCTGAGTTAAATTAGATGTTTAGCTCGCTGTTAATGCTAATAGTAGCCCACTAGTAAAAGGATGTTGTCTATTTTTAATAATAAAAATCATTTGCTTGGTTTATACAATATATTTTAATATTACTGGACATGCACACTATACTGAGACAAACGTCTTACCAGTCAGTGTCCCTTTACCGGAAGTTAATGAAACAATATCTCATTTGAGATCAAATTTGGACGATTTCTATTGATCCATTCATTCTGACCAAGTGGCAATTTAAAAACATGAAAAATGCCAAAAATTGTCTTTGCAGCGATGACATGGTTGTAAAATCTAAAAACTGTTGAAAATCAATGCGGTCAGCTCAAGATGAGCTCAAATAACTGCACTCAGGCGATGGTGTAACAACTGCAACGGGCTAAATCTACAGAAATCAATAATCGATATGCATAAAGATGGTTTTATGATTTCTCTGCAGCCCGAGGCGCCTACAGGCTCCACCCCTGACGTAGATCAGAATGTTTCAGAGTTCCTGGCGTGTTTGTTTCTGTCTGAATGCTACATGTTGCGCTGCGGCTCTGTTCGGACACTTAAGGCTTCTTAAAAATAACCAAAACAACAAATTCGGAACATGTTTCTCAGTGATATGTTGAGGACACACCTGTAGTGTGAGTGAACAGTCCAGAATTAGCATGTGCACCATTTAAAAAAAGCTCTACAGCTTCCCTTCAACACTTCAGCTCTTACGTTTATAAAACAACAGGTCAGCTGTTTTACTCCCTCATATCCCAAAATGCAGCCAAGACATGTCTGGCGCTTCTTTATTTTAGCACTGGAGCTACAAGGCTACTGTAGCTAACAAGCAATGAAAGCTTACAGCCGACCAATTAGCATTTCACTCACTTTAAAGCATGTGGAGGTGTTCAGGAATCTCTAATACATTTGATTACACTGATCAGCCATTATAACCACCTTGTTTTTACACTCAGTGTCCATTTTATCAGCTCCACTGACCATATAGGAGCACTTTGTAAAGGAGGAGCAGTTTTTAAACATTGTGTCCACTCACTGTCCACTCTATTAGACACTTCTACCTTTGCAGATGTACAGTCAGAGATGATAGTTGATCTGCTGCTGCACACTTTGTGATAGTCATCCTGTTGTCCTTCATCAGTGGTCACAGGACGCTGCCCATAGGATGCTGTTGGCTGGACGTTTTTGGTTCTCAGTCCAGCAGCAACACTGAGGTGTTTAAAAAACTCCAGCAGCACTACTGTGTCTGATCCCCTACCACCACATCAGTGTCACTGGAGTGCTGAGAATGCCCCACCACCCAAATAATACCTGGTCTGTGTGGGTCCTGACCATTGAAGAACAGGGTAAAAGTATGCAGAGAAACAGATGGACAACAGTCTGTAATTGTAGAACTACAAAGTGAAACTATATAGTCAGTGGAGCTGATAAAAGGGACAGTAAGTGGAGAAACAAGGAGGTGGATCTAATGAAGTAGCTGATGTTGTTTCTGACTCGCTCTTATCTATAAACATGGACTAAAGCTCAGCTACTGCTGTATTTAGCCGAGCTAACATCCAGTGTGAAACTTCAGACACCAAACATGTCTTGGCTGATGAACCACACTGAGGAAAAGGAGGGAAATTGGGAGGTTTTATCGCTTTAAGACTACACAGCTCTGAATCCCCCCAAAATAAGGCTCATCCTGCTCTTCTGCATCTTCATCACAGTGCTCAATCCAGATCCACGTCTGGCTGCAGAAACTCCAAATGCATCAAAAGCAGCAAAACTCCCCCTAGCCCACCAAAAATCCACCAAAAATAACAGTCTGAAAAGACGTGCATAATGATGACAGCAGGTCAGAGAGAATCCGCCAACTCTCAGACGGTTACAGATCGGTCCACGCAGATAAAAATAACGATAACGCAGTTAAATAAACCCCCCAAAGCGTCCAGCGTTTATCCTTGGCGAGCCTTTTCTTTAGTTTCCCACAATTTATTAACGTCCACTTCCTTTCGGATGAGGAGAAGGGACGACAGCGCCTCACTGTGGCTGTCGCCTTCTACAGACGGGAGGAGCACCGAAGAAGGGACAAAAAAAAGATTGCATCACTATTAGAGAGGTCAGTTTTAAGAAAAAAAAGAATGGCAGGTTCTGGTTTGAGAGTCAGGAGGGTTTGGGGGTGCAGGAAGCAGAAGGAGGAGGGAAAGGGCCACGTGTGCAAACCTGTAGATCACCTGCACAGGTGAGGCTTTCCTGCACCTGAGTCACGTCATCACTGATCTGTCTGGATTTCATCATTAACGCTTATTTACCATCATTTTAATCTGATAATTTAGTCTGTTCTTTCCTGCAGTTCCAAATATATGATGTGCTGATGTATTAATAGTATGTATTAACAGTATTAATGGTGTTCACAGCCGTGTTGTAGTCTAAACATAAGGATCTTTGCACTTACATATCTGAGATGATTCATCAAACGGTCTCTATGTTAACCAGGCTTTATCAGGATATCGGGATACCTTTATACCGGTAACATTAAGTTTTGCGTGATTCACACACGCAGCAATTAAACACTATTTTACTGCATTCAAACATGCTATGAAAGCCCATGCTGAGATGTTCTCAGCATGAGCAGCTCCTTCATTTCTGCATCATGTACTGAATTCACTCCTGCCACTTCATTCTCTCTGAAAATTGAACACTCAACAACGTAAAAACAAACGTTCTGCTTTGCTGGCCGTGCTGTGCAGGTTTTGTGCGGTAGCAGCCATGCACGCACTCAGTGCAGATATTTAGAGCTTCTCTGTAAAATCACGTACAAATTAAACCCTTTCATGCTTTAAGTACTGAAACACAAGAAAGACCCTGTTCACATTTCCGGCTCGACTGGTCTGATCTTAAGTGGACAGCAAGGCACAGGGCTGAACGATTAGGGAAAAAATCTTTGCAATATTTCTGATCTATATTGCGACTGTGATTTAAATTGTGATTATTTTCTGATAAATTAAGGTACAGGATTGTTATTTTGGCCTATATCCACTTATTCTGTCTTGAGGCTTGAACTGAAAGCTAGTTGTGGTTGTGATATCACAGCACATGGATGATTTGCTTCTGATTAGTCTGACTCATCCAGCTCAGTGTTATCAGGTTAAATTTCTCCACTTTAAACTTAAGTCAGTGTTGTTAACAATACAGGTTATAATTAAAATTGCAGCTCTTGCGATTTGAGAACTGCATTCTTTGCAATTGTGATACTGATTTAAAAATGATCCATTTTTCAGCCCTAATGAGACATATAGCTATGTTTCTATTGCATCCCCAGTGACTGGATATCATGACAGATGCTTGGTCTGCTAGACTTGTAGACACGGTAGAGGAGATGCAGCTGCTTTCATCTCTTCAACGCTGTTGAGGATACATTGGGGCACTTTAGCATTCCCACTAGAAATGTTAAGCTGTCGTATGCGTTCTTGAACAACTGTTTGGTGGTCTGAGTGATTAGACACATTGAACCCCATTTGAACCTGCACGTAGCACTGTCTACTTATGACCAGATCACCCACAATGCATGTTAATGCTGAGTGTAAACAGAGCCAAAAACCAAAGCATCACAGAAACCTTCAGCTTTGTCAGCTGTAATCTAGAAGTCGCTGTTTTTCCTGGCAATGTTTCGGCTTCTGAACATCCTCTGGGTAATGTCTCAGGTATTGTAAGGGGTCAATTGTAGGGGCCAAAAACTGGACATTGGAAAATGATCCTCCTCCAAACACCCAGTGGAAACTACACCTACACATCCTATAAATTAGCTAATGATGGACTCAGGTGCAGTAAAAGCCCACCTGATGAGGTGGACCACAGGGGTTGAATATGGGATATTAACTCAGTGAGCTGACCTCAGCATTTTTGCGTCCTTCATTTTCAGACCAATCAGAGTGAAATAACTCAGGAGTTATTCAGGGGGCAGGAAAGTGCTGACTAACGTACTGTACAATCTGTGCATTTACACATATAGAAACGACAGAGCAGATCAGAGTGTGCAGGGAAGAGTGTGATCTGCTCTACAGCAGGGGGAGCTAGAGAGCTGGACGATCAGCAAGAGAGAAAATAAAGAAAAAGAAAGAAGCAGGTGATGAGGAGAGCGAGAATGAGGAGAGAGCAGTCTTGTTTGTGCATTTAGGGAATTCTTGGAGCAGGTGAAGGAGAAGACAGCGGATCCGGTTCAGGAAAGAAGAGGAGAGGGTTCCGCTCACAGTTGGGAGAGTGAAGGCACTCAGGAGAATCAGGGAACAGAGGGAGTGAGTGAGAGTTTGAGGGATGTTCAGAAGATGGTGGTCTCGTACTTGGTGCTGACGGTGCGTTTGGGGTCTTTGGGGTCCAGCAGCCAGGCGGCACCGCTCTGAGACGGAGCTTCATCCACGTTTACGGAGTCCACCTAAAACACAGAACGTACAGGTCCAGTTACAGAGCTGGACTGCAGGTAAAGTCCTGATCAGGACGTCTCGAGAGATCAATCACTTGTAAACTGATCAATAAATACTAATAGTTTATTATTGTAATACAGCGATGTTCTCCAACCATCCCTCCTGGAGATCTACTTTCCTGCTTAGGGGTAAAGATACAGACTGATCTCCGTAAACCACACAGTGCGGATTTAAATATTATAAACCGCACACCAAAATAAATTTTTAAATGTTGCCTTCAAGATTTTGGATGGTGATACCAAACATTCCAAACAGCAATTATGGACTTCCGAATAGGGATTCCAAACTTTCATAAAGTCATTTCAAACTCTGAAAAGCCAATTCCACCTTTTGAAATGCAAATTCCAAACTTTATGGCAAATTGTGCATCAAAAGTTTTCCAATCTTTTGAATGGTAACTTAGAAATTTTAGAATTTTAGAATTTGAAACTTTAGAACAGCAAGTCAAAATTTTAGAATGCCATTTCCAAACTTTCTGATACTGAACATTCTAACCTTGTGAAAGCCAATTACAAATTTCTGAATGGGAATCCCAAACTTTTGAATGCTATTCTAAACTTTTAATGATGGTTCCAAATTTCTGGACACCAATTCTAAACCTCTAAATGCCAATTACAAATTTCCGGATGGGAATGCCAAACTTTTGAAAGCCGATTCCATGCTTTAGAATGCCAATTTCAAACTTTTAGACACTGATTCTAAACTTCTGAATGCCAGTTACAAATTTCTGGATGGGTATTCAAAACTTTCATGCTGTGACTCCAAACTTTGGAATGGTATTTTGGACAGAATTCCAAAAATTTGGAAGTTGATTTCAAACTTCTCAATGCTGATTGTAAAAGTAATGCAGGTGAAACACTGACCGCCTGAAAGCTGAAGTTATACAGAGATGCCACTAATATTTGACACATGTTCCCTAATCTTGCCTCCAGGAGGCGGTACAGCTCCAAAGAAGACTAAAGCAGAAAGTCTCCATTCAGAACTAAAGCTGTAAATGCAGCGTTACTTTAGAGAATGAATCACAGGTGGAGGAACAGCGGAGGATCTAACAGAGAAGACAAACACGGCGAGAACCTGGAGTTCAGCACAGCTGCAGAACGGAGAGAGGACAGGACGATGGACAGGACAGTTACAGTAACAGCAGCTATTACCACATACAGGACAGTCCTGAGAGAGAAAAAGGGAGAGAGAGGGGGAGGGGGGAGGGGGGGAGGAGTGGGCCAGAGAAAGAGAGAAAGAGGGAGAGAGAGAGACAGAGAGAGAGGGAGTGGGAGAGGGAGAGAGGGAGAGAGAGATGGAGGGGGCAGAAAAAGAGAGAAAGGGAGAGAGAAATGCAGAGAAAGAGGGAGAGATACAGACACCACATACACACACACGTAGAGAAAAAGGGAAGAGAGAGACAAAGAAAGAATAGAGGAACAAGGAAGGGAAGGGAGGAAAGGGAAGAAAGACAGGTGAGACAGGTGCACAGACAGGACAAAAGGAAACTTTGAGGTGGGGTGTGGGGGTCACAGACATCCTCTCATTTCCCGTCTTTCACTGAAATCTGTCAGTGTTCACAACCACACATCGGAAAGCAGCCTATTAGGTTAAAGCAGGAGGCCAAGGGGCGAAGCTTATACATATGGGTTCAACCTATAATAGTGAAGTGGGTGGGGCTTATTCTACTGACACACCCACACTCTAATGACCAGCCTTTTAATTTCAAGAGGTTAGAAACTGTAGAGTTTGTGATGTTTGGGGTTTGTTTAGTTAAAGGGAGCAGCAGGAGCTGGAACTGTTCTACTGGAGAACCTTTATTACTCTGAGACAAACAAACCTGTAGAACAGAATCAGAACCTCTGTACATTTAACACATTAAGTCTTCATCTCAGAATCAAAAATCACAAAAAAACCCTGAAAATGTGTTAAATGTTACAGCCCCAAGTTCAGTGGTCATTCTGGATATTAATTTTATTAGAACTTCATAGTGGATATTAATTTTATTAGAACTAAATGTTAGTGTATGTATACAGATGTGTTCAGTAATGTAAGCGTGAGTACTCACTCCTGATTTGCGGACACTCCCACGCGGTTTAGGAACAGGTCTGCTGCTCTTGGTGTCAATGACCTCTGACCCCGCGGAGCTCTGCTGCTGCTTGTTCCTCTGAGCCTGCAGAGCGAGCTGATAGGCCACTTCAAATGCCTGGCCCAACGTCAGGATGATCTCATAGGTCAGATTCTGAAACCAGAGAGGAACAGTTTACTCTCAGTCCAGTTTTATTTGTTTATATTCAGTTCAGCTTTAATTAATAGTTTACACTCAGTCCAGTTTTTGTTTATATTCAGTTCAGCTTTAATTAATAGTTTACACTCAGTCCAGTTTTTGTTTATATTCAGTTCAGCTTTAATTAATAGTTTACACTCAGTCCAGTTTTTGTTTATATTCAGTCCAGTTTTATTTAACAGTTTACATCAAGTCCAGTTTTTTTTGTTTATATTCAGTCCAGTTTTAACAGTTTACATCAAGTCCAGATTTTTTGTTTATATTCAGTCCTGTTTTATTTAATAGTTTACACTATTAAATAATTGAACTACACAGTTCAATTTAATAGTTATATTCAATTCAGTTTATTTTACCTTTTACATTCAGTCCAGTTTTATTTATTTATATTCAGTCCAGTTTTATTTAATAGTTTACACTCAGTCCAGTTTTATGTGTATATTTAGTCCAGTTTTATTGAGTAGTTTACACTCAGTCCAGTTTTATTTGTTTATATTCAGTCCAGTTTTATTTAATAGTTTACACTCAGTTCAGTTTATTTAACAGTTACATTCAGTCCAGTTTTATTTATTTATATTCAGTCCAGTTTTATTTAATAGTTTAGATTCAGTCCAGTTTTATTTGTTTTTATTTAGTCCAGTTTTATTTAATAGTTTACATCAAATCCAGTTTTATTTGTTTATATTCAGTCCAGTTTTATTAAATAGTTTAGATTCAGTACAGTTTTATTTAATAGTTTACATTCAGTCCAGTTTTATTTGTTTATATTTAGTCCAGTTTTATTTAACCTAATAAGAAACTGTGGAACAAATGATCACAATACCTACATTTTATTCTATTTTTTTTCTAGTTATTCATTAAAACTGATCCAGTTTACTGAACCGAATCCCTCCAGCTGAACAGTGTAAATGATCTCACCACGTCCACAGTGCTAAACACATGACAGTAATGGTGGCTGGTCTGCAGGTCTTTAGTGATGTAGGCGAAAGTGCACAGGTCCTCTGGGTCCTGAGCCGCACACGAAATGTTCCTGATCTCATGTTCCGCAATGATGTTCTACACACAAACACAGACATACAGACAACAGTCACTACTACAAACAGAGAAACAAACTGGAATTCCTGAAAACGCACAAAAAATCTATAAAGAAAATTTTGATGCTACTGTTTTAGCTAGGCAAATTTTCTGTTCCACCTTGGTGCAGCAGGTACATTCAGGTGCTTGAGTGGAATGAGGTGGAACAGAAAATTTGAATAAAAAGCTGCCAAACATGAAGCCAACTTCGCTAACACATTTAGGGTGAGTGCGTGATGGTTTAGTCATTGTGATTAACACCATGCTAATTGGTGGGGTTTAAGCTTCCATTACTTAATAGCTACATTAGCTTCATAGTTACAGCGCTAAAAAGGAAGCAAACTTCAGACACCCAACATGTCCTAGCTGACTGACTATATTTGAGGTCAAGGTTGGGGGGACTGCTGCACTGTCACTTTAAACTTACAGAAAGTTCAGATATTACAGTTTTGGGGTAGAAAGAAAGCCAATGAGCCAGCTGAACCGAGCAGGTTTATTCACCTTATTGGCAGCATCGATGAATTTCACCCCTTTATACGTGATGGAGAGAACGATGGTGGGGACTTTCCTCATTTGCTCTGTAGACCTCTGGAGGAGGGAGAGAGAGAGAGAGGAGAGAGCGAGTAATAAGGGGGAGAGAAAGGAGAGGGAGGTGAGAGCAAAGGGGAGAGGTAGAGAGAGAGAGAGAGAGAGAGAGAGAGAGGAGGGAAGAAAAGGTGGAGTGAGAGAAAGGGAAAGAAGTAAGACAGTGAGAGGAAGTGAAGGAGAGAGGGGAGAGAGTGAGACAGAGAGAGAAAGAAATAAAGAAAAGGTAGAGAGACACAGAGAGAGAGAAGAATCCAGTAAAGTCATTAATGATCAGACTGAAAGATTATGTTCTGTAGTGCTTCAGTTCATTTCTGTGTTTTCTGAAGCTGTTGGATGGTTTGCTAGCCACTGACCTCCTTTAAATGCTAATGAACAGTGGTGTGATTGTGGGAAACTGCAGGACTGTACAGAACAAGCGAGGTGTTCTCCACTGTCAGCAGAACCAGAGCACACAGATCTGTTCTTTAACCTTATTAAACAGCTGCGCTGTAGTTTGATTACAGCTCTAACAGTGACCAGCGTCCACCACACAGCAGCTCTTACCCTCATCTTAGCACAGGCATCCTGCGTAGACTCGGTTCCTCTCAGATCTTTAATCAGCATAGAGCCCAAATACTGCAGAGAGAGAGAGAGACAGAGAGAGAGAGAGAGAGACAGAGAGAGAGACAGAGAGAGAGAGACAGAGAGACTGTAATGACTCAGTGATTCCTAAATGACTCAACGACTTGGTAATGAATCAGTGACTCTGTAATAAATCTGTGACTTAATGAATCTGTCATGAATTAATGAATCTGTAATGACTCTGTGATGCTGCAATGACTGACAGATTCTATACTGGCTCAGTGGCTATAATGACTCAATGACTAATGACTTAGACCTCTGTAATGAAACAGTGACTCTGTAATGAATCAGTGACTCTGTAATGACTCAATGAATCTGTAATGAATCACTGACTAATGAATCTGTGACCATGTAATGAATCACTGACTCTGTAATGACGCAGTCATTCTATATTGACTTAATGACTGTAATGACTCAATGATTATTGACTCGGTGACTCTGTAATGGTGCAGTGATTCTGTAATGATTGAGTCTATATTGATTGAGTGACTGTAATGAATCAGAAACTTTGTAATGACTCATTGACTCTAATGGCTCAGTGATTCTGCAATGACTCAGTGATTCTGTAATGATTCAGCGAGTCTATACTAACTCAGTGACTGTAATGAATAAGTGACTCTGTAACGACTCAGTGATTCTGTAATGACTCAGTGATTCTGTAATGAATCATCGATTCTGTAAAGACTCTAGTGACTGTAATGAATTAGTGCTGTAATCTCTTACGTTTGCCTCGTAGCCGCAGGACTCGAAGATGAGTTTTTCGGGCTGGTGGTGCCAGTTCTGTACAGGGGCGTAGGGGGCTGCCAGGCTCGGGGGGCGTAAAGTCAACCGCGACTCAGGAGGACGTTCTTCATACTTCTCCTGGGGAGGGAGGGGGGAGGGAGAGAGAGCGTTGACTTGTCAGAAAAAGTCTCTCAGCCAAGCTCTGCCTTATTTTCCTCAGCCCACAGATCACTGCACAGTAACTGGTGCTGTCCCCTGCCTCAAGCCTTCGGGTCTTTATCAGCCCGCCAGTATTTGAAAGCTCCAGCTATGGTTAACAGATGTATCTGGGGGGTGTTTAAAAGCGACATTCCGTTCCATAGAGTATTTCTACCCACTTAAAGCCAAAAAAACCTTGAAATCAGTTTTGCTACAAAGGCAGAAAAAGGCTGGGTGAAAATGTCAAAGCAAACATGTAATATTACTTCAATGAATCAAAGGTAAGACATGAACGGACCACAAATGGACCATGTTTTTGATCAGGCTTAACTCATTCATGTTGTCTTCTGCTCTTGAATGATGTGGAGAAACTTCATGTTCTCCTTTCCGAAGTGGAAAGCAACCTTTTGTGAGAGTAAAGGATCTTCTCATAGATATTCTGCTAGCCTTTTTGTGGCAAACAATTTGGCAAAATCCCCAAAAAAGTCTTGTTGCATTCGGTGTGTGACAGCCTGAACACATAATCAGAGCTCCACAGTGAGAGCCTGTTAAAGCACAAATCTTTGGGTGAAATTGGCAGCTTTTTTAAAGGCAGTGATGGTATTTAAGTGTCCCCGATAACGTTACCAGCACAGCCCAACATTGAATACATCAGGAGCCGCTGAGGAGGATGTAAACACTACACTGATTTAGTCACTGGATTTTACGAATTTCTGAATGTTAAATTTTATGTTGACATCTTTGTAAGGGGACTGTGGGGGGTGTTTGTGTGTGAGCTGAGCATACCTGTGGTCTAGGTTTGATTGCCAGGTCGTACTCTGAGTCTCCGCCTTTTCTCCTCCCAGAATCTCCTGCAGGTAGTAGAGGGTCCATGGAGCGGTGAGTGTAGAGGTCAGAGTGACTGAGGGGCGAGGATGACTGGGACATCAGCTCAGGACACTGACACACACACACACACACACATACACACACACAGATCAGGAACCTTTTTATGCTACGGTGTCTTGAATCAGCCACGTGTTTTGATCACTCCAGCGTGAACGGCAACGTACAAGGGTTAATAAAATATAAAGTAATTGCGCTTCAACATTTTCAGAAATATTTTATTTTTTAACAGTTTAAGGTTTATGAACGCCTGATTTCTACTGGACTGTGAGAATGTGGTCAACGCTGCAGTACTGAACGCTGTGGTCAGAGCGGCTGTGTGTGTCTGTGCTGCTGTACTCACTCTGATTTGAGAGAGACGCGGCGGCTTTACTGGAGGCTCCTCATACGGCCGCTCGGCTAACGACGCGATGATCCTCTTTCTGTGACCCAGCAGGGTGATCTTCAGCACCTGCATGCATGCATACACACACACACACACACACACACACACACACACACACACACACACACACACACTGTTAGTCCTGTAAAGTGTCCTACAGCAGTGTGTGTGGAAAGAGCTCTTGTTTCTGCTTTACACTGTGCAGCATTATCCATGTTAAAGGGCCCATAATGTACCTAAAACATTCATAATTCATTTCTACGTGATCATTTTCCAGTCTTTTTATCTCTTACTCTCAAACAGGCTGTTTTCATATCGACATAGTTGTACATCTGTATTGATTTTCTAAGTAAGTTTTCACACTTGGGCCGTTTCTGTGTCTGGAGTGGACCACTGAGTCATGGTTTTCTGTGCGCAAGTGAACACGTCAAATGAACTCAGACCCTCTAAACGGCCCCAAAAACACACCAAACTCATACCACCTCTTGAGTTTGGTTCCTTTGTAGGTCACTTTGTGGTTTGATTCGACAAGAAATGAAAAACTGAAACTGTAATTATAAAACAGATAAAAAATGTGCACTAAAATTAGCAGAAAGACACGGTTTTACAGAGTAAAATGTGTAATTTGACCAGGGGTGTTCAAACTTTTGCACATGAATGTATATGCAAATGAGCTTTGTCTTGATTGGCTGCCCTTGTTCAGAAACAGAATACATGTCTTATTATACACCCTGGTGCAGACTGTCCTCAGTCGGTGGTAGGAGTTCAGCATAACAGCTTCAGAACTCAATTCCTCAGAGTGTCTCACGTGATCTCGCATTTCTCAGCCTTTAAGACTCAATTCTAAACCTGTCTGCTCTCTCAGAGCTTTACTTTCAGTCCTTTACTCTGAATTTAAAATTTCACTTTTTTTTTATGTAAAGCGACCCCGGAGCTTGGGAGAAAGGCACTATACAAATGAAAACTATTACTATTGTTGTTGTTATAATTATTATTTCTACACGTAATGGCATCATGTAATCAGAATAAAAAAGTGACAAAAAAATATTTTGTCCAATTTACAGTAAGAATCAGATTACAGGTACACTATAAAAACAGACTGACTAAAAGCAGAATTACATTCAAATATAAACTTTCACAGAAATTCGCCATTTTAAAGATAAATATGTCACGAATTGTGTAGATTTAAAGAGTTTTTAATTTAGGGGTGGTGGGGTGGGCTGCTGCTAGGAGAGAAAAAAAAAGCAGTTCTGAGTTTTTTATTCAGCCAATCTACAAAAATTGTAGTATTTTTTTTAAGTGATCCCCTACACCCTGTACATCTCTTCAAGGGTTGTATTACAGAAACTCTGAAATCTGATCTGTTTAGTCTCCATGATGACTTCAGTACAGACTGAATTTAGGACAGTAGCTATTACAGAATAACAGTTCTTAACTTCATAATATTATCATTAACTCCAGATAAGAAAACAGTATCACAAAAACATCCTAACTAGACTAAACCTCCTAAATACTGTCCTAACTTTAGGATAAACCCCAACAGTGTCCTAACCTCTGCTTAACCTTCCGTTTCTATCGTTTTTAGGCAGCTGTGTCAGGCAGCATAATTCACTACTAGCATAATGACGCTACATTTATTTATACTGTAAAACGCTGCTTTAACTTGTGAGATGTTTTTCTTTTCTAACTCTGCGTTTTAAAAATCTCAGACTCTGCAGACACGATATCCACTGTCCCCTCTTATTACCTTCATGTGTTACTGTTGATGATAAAATATTACAGTGATGGTGATGAATAAGGAGGAGACAGAGGTGAACGTGTGTCTGTTTATTAGGAGGAATAACGTTAGACTGAAACCGGGGAGCGGCGGTGCTCTGATAAACAGCAGGGGGCACTCTCACAGTATTCACAACTTACAGTTCATCACAGTTTAGTTTGACCTTTTTTGCATCAGTTGTTACATTTTAACATTATTTTGATTATGTGTTTATGTTTCAGATGTGTGTTTATGATCAGTTGCTAGGAAACAGACATGCCAGCTGTCGACTTTGATAGAGCAGGTTAAGATTTCCTAACTGGAGATAAGATGCTGTAGGATAAGATAAAATTCCTAAATTGAGATCAGATTTGCTTTCTGTAATACAAATTTGTGAACAATCTTATCTTGAGCTGCCAGATCTTAAGACAAAAAGAGAAAAAGCTTCTGTAATACAGCCTTAGAGTCTTATTTTAGAAAAGTGATGAGTTTTCCAGGATATGGGCACTTTAATCCTCTAATGAAGGACAGGCTGCAGAGGACACAGAGCAGCAAAGAGCTGAATCAGTGCTGGCTGGATGAGCTCGTATAGTGTCTCTGTGTGCAGGTTCTCTCACATTGACGATCTCCAGCTCCCACAAGTTCTTCACACACTCCAGCGTGCGGTATCCACTGGTGAGGAAGTTGTGCAGATACTCAGTCAGACCCAACGAGTCAAGCCAGGAAGAGAGAGACGTACTGCCGTCACAGCCCAGAGCTTTTACCTGGAAATACACATAAATACGTTTAAATATCTATGCAGTGTAAATGAAAACTGAATATATAATAATGAGTTCACAGTACTTCAAAGGGGAATGTCACTGATCTTTAGAAAACTCTGCATAATCAAAAGGTTCAGAGTCATTCAGAGCAGTTTCTCTGTTCTACAGAAACTTACAGAGTCAGAATTGTTCACAGTGGTGGTAATACGAACCAGACGTCCACCTTTTAAAGCTCCCTTACAGAAAGTTATTACACGGAATGGTTATTTATACGCTGCCTGAGACACTGTTTTATGACAGTTTTGAAAAGATTTTGGCTAAAACATGTTCAGAAGAATCTTCAGAGCACTCTTAAAATCCTATTTTGTTCAGATTCGCCACTTATTTACCATCATCAACATTCCATTTAAAATTCAGAAGACACATGTAGTTTCACTGGTGGTTTTGGATAGTAAATCTTAATATTTGTGTTGTGGTCATGGCGACGCCTGGTTCCTATCACCACCACTGTAAAGAAATCTGAACCATTTCACACCAAACCATTTTGAATCACTCTGTTTACACCTTACACACTCAATTATGGGGGAATTTTGGAAAATAAATGGAATCCTCCTTTCAAAAGCTGCAGTTAGGCTGGTGAGGACAAAAATTATATTGTGATTAATTGTGTATTATTCCTGATCGAAGTGGAGTGAATCATTCTAAACTTTCAATCTATACCACATTAGTGTTAATTAGTCAGTAATTAATTAGTCAATAATGTCAAAGTGTGTTTATCAATGGTGAACTGTGACTATTAAAGCTTGGCTTTCATTTTTTGGGTCATAAATGTCTAAATTCAGTGAAACACAGCTCTACTATAAAGCAATTTTTGCTAGCGCTCCTAAGGGATTTCTAATAGTGTATTAGCACTAAGCTAAAGGCAATTCATGAAAATATTTTGGACATCCTACATTAAACACAGACATCTGAAGCTTGTAAAAGTTGTTCCATGTGTTTTATCTGAAGGTTATAACAGTCATTTTACAGTTTTACAGAAACTCCTTCAGTAAAGAGTCCTGTATAGAGCTGCAGCCCCTGTTTTACATTCCTAACAACTAACCAGAACCTGCTTAGACTAAGACTCATATTCACAGGCAGTTATCTAGAACCTTTAGAAGATGGAGAGTGATGGTTGCACCCATTGTAAATCTGAGTGCGATTTGTTGATTCCTCTGTTAATTATGTTGGTAGCTAATCTAACGTGTAAGACCTTCAGTGCAGCTCCTGATATCCTGACCAATGGGAGAGCAGCTCAGCTGAATCTACCCAGATACCAATCCTGATTTTTTGTTGGATGTTCCAACCCTTTTGATTCCAACCAAAGCTCAATGAAATAAGAGTATTTCTTCCATATTATTTTTTATTGCACAGAAATCATTAGGCCTTCTCTGAAGATCTAGAAGGTTCTAAAGGGTTCCCCGCTGCACTACAGAGTGTATGCTGAACCTTTGGTAGAGTTCGAGCAGCGCTGAGTAGTTTCCTCCTGTGGGACGCGTCCGTAATCCCGATCTCCCTCAGATCCTGCTCCTCCATCACATTACTGCCCTACAGACACACACACACCATCACATGTCATTAATAAACCCTGCCCCCTTCATTCACCCCAAAAAAAAACTTATCAGCCACAGTGACTCAGGTATCACATTCCATAATCACAATCAGTACATCAGCAGTTCTTAAACTCACTTATTTTTGTTTCCTCATTAAACACAGACGTATAATGAGAACAAGTTCAGTGGAGAAGAAGAAGCTCAGAGCAGCTAAAGGTAAAAGAGGTAGAGGATGTCCAGCAGACGAATGGACAGACAGACACCAGGGGGCACAGCAAATTCAGACAGTTTAGTGGCTGTCTGGGATCCAGCTCACTTTAGGTTTACGTGAGGTAAAATTAGCTAGAACTAACTATTTCAGTCTCAGTGTGAACTTCACAAAGTTCACAGACAGACCAACAGAGTGACGGAAACAGAAACATCTTTATTAACGACTCTTTATTTTCTTTATTTATATAGAGAGCGCGAATATAGAGAGAGAGCAGCGGTGAGAGGAGTACAGATTACGCTGATGAAATAAACGAGCGCACTGAAGCAGCCTAATTAAGTTGTTTCTGTGTGAGTAATGACAAGAGAGAGAGGAGGGGGGAGGGGGAGAGGGGGAGAGAGAGAGAGAGAGAAGAGAGACAAAGTAACTGACCCAGGTTCAGTCCATCTCTGTTTACACTGCTCTCTGATCTCCATTCTGATACATTTTTAATCACTTTGCAGGAAAATAATCTCACTGATATTTTGGACTGAAACAGAATATGCAGCTTATATTTATATACATTTCAGCTTCAGTAAGATCTTTAATACTGGAATTCAGATTACACTGGATATTCAGCATCACAACAAACCAAAATCAACCCCAAACATCAGGACACTGAGAATTTATAACCTCTTAGAAAATGAGACCAGTCATTGGAGTGTGGTTGTGTCTATAGTATAAGCCCCACCCACTCCAGTGTAGAGGATGAAGAGGAAAGAAAGAAAAAAGAAAGAAAGAAAGAACAAGCACAAGGTGGCTGTTTCTACTGAAGCGGTCAGTAAGTGGAAGCACAAGGTGGGTGTTTCTATTAAAGTGGCCAGTTAGTGGAAGTACAAGGCAGGTGTTTCTAATAAAGTGGCCAGTTAGTGGAAGTACAAGGTGGGGTATGAGCTAGTGGAGAATCTAGAGCCTCAGTGGAGTTTCAAAATCAGCCAGTTTGCATGGACAGATGAATGAGCTGCACTGAGCATGCTCAGATTTTGTGATATAAATCAGGTGAAGTACACTGAGGCACTGAGCCAACCAGCCAGTGCTGACCTTCACACAGACACGGCCACACTTGCCTACCTCCACCAACCTGAACACAGCAGCTCCTACACAATCAAACAGCTTCAGCTGCTCACTCCAAATCTGCTGAGACATGTTTGGTGTCTGAAGTTTGCTTCTGTAGCTTTAGCACTGGAGCTACGAGGCTAACAGGTAATGAAAGCTCATACAGAGTCAGAATTGTTCACAATGGTGGTGATAGGAACCAGACATCCACCTCTAAAAGCTCCCTCACAGCAAGTTATTACATGAAATTATTATGAATACACTGCCTGATGTCTGAGACATTGTTTTATGATATTTTTGAGACAATTTTAAACTCCATTCATGGTGGAGGGATACATAATATGCAGGGCACTGTGAGGCAAAATAGTCCCCAAAGAAAACTTATTATGTCAGATTTTCCACTATTTTCCATCGACAACATTCCATATAAAACTAAGAAGACACATGAAGGTTGACTGGTGGTTTGGATAGTAAATAAAATGACTATATATTTGTGTTGTAGTCATGGTGAACCCTGGTTCCTATCACCACCACTGTAGAGATTTGAATCAGTTTCACACCAAACCACTTTGAATCACTCTGTTTACATCTCACACACTCAATCATAGGGAGATTTTGGGAAATTGGTCCACAGTCCAACTCCACAGTCTGAGGCACGTGTGTGACGATTAGCGGCATGCTAATTAGCAATATTTTTCCATTATATCAGGCACAAATGGTGTATAAACGATTTTCTGTTTAGTTGGGTGATGAAGCCTCAGCTCGTACAGAAGGTCACACAAACACAAGCTCAGGCGTCCAAGCTCATTATTCCTGCACTGCAGGTGGGCGGGGCTCCATCCCCATCCGAGCCAGTGGAGGGAGTAATTTATAATGCAGCAGAACTCTCGCCAGGCCAGCTGAGACCTTCATCTCCGACACCATCAATCCACATTAGCACTCAGGCTAAACATACAGCGTGGCTAACAGCTTTCATAAAGGCTGATGGGCTCATTCACCTTCTGCTGGACCACTGTACTGTCCTCAGGACCTCCAATCTCTACACATTATGACAAATATTATTACTCCTATTTATCTGCCTTAAGCACACATCTGTAAACTCACAATTTAAAACCTGCTAAGACTATGTGGGGCTTCGCTGGGAAACGTGGAGAAGAAAAGTCCATGAGGTGTGGACAGTAGTGAAGAATGTGTGGGAATCAGTTTCACATTACCCAGATCACTTTATCAGTACCAGCACTCTTCTGTCAATTTTTGTGCATCTAATCTTCTAGCAATACAGTCTGCAACACACCGATAGAAAGCTGGAAATCACTGGATGCGATTCCCACAAACCATTTTATTATCCGTTATTCACAGCAGTTACGATCGTCTCATTTGCAACACAAGCACCGAGTGAACAAATTCCAGCAAATCTGTGTCTTAACCTTCAAAGCTTTGCCGCTCCCCACAGAGATATCATAATCCAAAACGTGGTCTGATAACATGGCAAGAGTCAGGGATCAGTTTAGAGATCTATGAGTCAGGAGGAAATAAACTCCTCTATTCTAGACTCTGTTACTCTGTGGCAGTGTGTGCGCTTACACACACTCAATGGTTCGATCATAATCTGATTTCTGCAGTTATCTGATTATTAAAATGGTTGTGTAATCAGCACACTGATTTCTTAGATCGAAGTAAGGTCTAGAAATCCGATTTAAAAAATCAGATAAAGAGATCAGGATTTTAGCTCAGTCATCAGACTTCTTAGTGCATATAAACACTTACTCTGATTTCTTTTGGATTTCTTAGTCTGCACATGTGCACATTTAGTAAAAGAAATCCAGTATCTTTCTAGGTATCAGCTCTGGCTTTTGTTTTCTGGCAGTGTTTGAGCTGAACGGCCGTTCTAGTTAGGATACATTCTCTGAATAGACAACAAAGCACTTTTGTAAGTCGCTCTGGATAAGAGCTTCTGCTAAATGCTGTAAATATAAGTGTGAACATTGCTTCTATTAATTTGGGTATGCCATTTCAGGCAAAAATGGCATGACAGTGAACAGGTTAAATATTTACGATTGACAGTGTGAGGTCGTCTTCAAGACTAGAGGAGCTCCAGAATGCTGAGACAAGCCCTATATGAATTGGATTAGTTAATCCAGGCAGCGATAACATTACTGCATGATGAGTGAGCTTCTAATAGGTTGTATTTTCTACAAACCTGGATGAGCTCATATGATCACAGAAAGCTCAAAGCTATATATATTTATTATAAAATAAAGGTCTGTTTTATTCCTGCAGCTGCTGTTATAATTACCTCTGCAATCAGCCTGCAGGAGCTTGACTTTATGCTCTTTCTCCTCCAGCCAGTGTAGAGAGGATGGAGATGAAGTTCCACCATCCAGAACAAGTAAACGGTTCTGCAGCATCCATCGTTTTGCGATTTAGGAAGTGTTAAATACTAAGTTGAAAAATTAAACAGTGTGTAATTTATAGTGTTTCATTTTCACGACACATTTCAGACAACGAACACATCCTGGCTAATCAGCTATGTTTTGGCTAAACTGAAAAACGGAAACTATCACCAAACTATGACTTTAAAAGGTGAAATACAGCGAGCTGTCTGTGCGTCCTCTGCTGAAAACACTGATGATGCTCTTGTTTATGTTCCAGCTGAGTGATGCTGACTTGGCAGCTTCTGTACTTGCCAAACAAGCTTCACTGCAAAATCCTACAGCTGACATATTCAGTCATACACTCCTACAGCAAATAATGCTCAGTCATATATACATAGAGCAGCTATGTTCAAACACATATACCACTTTGTAGATGTAAAGTCGGAGATGATGGCTCATCTGCTGCTGCACAGTTTGTGTTGGTCATCTTCTAGTCCTTCATCAGTGGTCACAGGACGCTGCCCACAGGACGCTGTTGGCTGGATATTTTTGGTTCTCAGTCCAGCAGTGACACTGAGGTGTTTAAGAACTCCAGCAGCCCTGCTGTGTCTGATCCACTCGCACCAGTACAACACACTAACACACCACCACCACATCAGTGTCACTGCAGTGCTGAGAATGACCCACCACCCAAATAACACCTGCTCTGTGGGGGTCCTGTGGGGTCCTGACCACTGAAACAAGAGGTGGACTTAGTGAAGTGGCTGGTTGGTGCAAACCTCAGTAATACATTCAGACTGCTTGTAACACTGTTTGCTACAGATGCAGCTGCAGGTTCTATTCATCTCGCAGGACTTTAAACAGTCCTCGAGTGCCTCTCAATGAGCAGCGAGTCGACAGGTAAATTTAGACTCTACATAGTGAAGAGATGAGCGAGACGGAGCTGTCTGTAAGGGCCGTAACCCCAGAGCTGCACACAGAATCATTCATGCTACATCTAATATACATCAAGAGTGAGTGCTTGGAGTGATGGAGCGTGGGAGAAGACGGCTTGTTAAAATTTAGAACAGAATCAAAGCCGAGGGGGCCGAGATCACACAGGCTAATCAAAAAATGAAACTCTGCTAGCATGGATTTCAGAACATGTACATTACACGAGGGGCTGAGAAGTTGTCTGTTTCTGAGACTTTAGGAGGAACAGCTCACAAAACACTGAACTATAATGAGCAGATCTTTACAACCGAGTGACCAATTAACTAAGGTTCTGGACTTTACATGGTTCACCCCAATAACAGCAGCAGTACTGGATTCAGCACTTCAGGAACTTAATCAGTTTCAGTGAGAGACAATTAGAGACACAAAAGATGTGACAAAATGATGAAGAGCACAGGAAAAGGAAGAGGAATAGGAATGTGTGCAGAACGATTCACAAAATTCATAACTGGGTTTGATAAAATCTCAATTCAACATTTTGCGGTGCAACCAAAAGATAAAGTGCCTGAAAAGTCAATTTGTTCTTGTTAATATATTAAAGCTTCCATTTTCAGCATTTTAACATAACATAAGTAAAATATTAGAGACTTTATAATGACACAGTGGAATTTAGCCTATTGGCCTCTTTGCATCAGAAACGTTAAAGAAAAACTTGCTAACGCCAACACAAACTGATCTGTTAGCCCCAAGCTAACACACTGGTTGAAAGCTAACACAAAAGTCATGAGCTAATACAAAGGTCATGAGCTAACACTCTAGTCATGAGCTAGCAGACTAGTTGCGAGCTAGCACACTAGTCATGAGCTAACACACTAGCTATGAGCTAACACACTAACTATGAGCTAACGCACTAGCTATGAGCTAACACACTAGCCCTGAGCTAATACTCTAGTTATGAGCGAACACACTAGGCATGAGCGAACACACTAGTTATGAGCGAACACACAGGCAACAGTACAATGATGCATTACAATACAATATGCTACATTAGATTGTTACATGTATTTGTACAATTGTCAGGAACTCAATTATTTCAAAAGAAACATAAATCATAAAGCCTCATAGTCTCACCTTCCACTGACATACTATACATTTTTTCAAACATTTAGCCACCTGTGAGCTATTAATTTAAAAGTAACTCTGTTCTCCCACTCAAAACAACCATGAAATAGCAAATAAAATGAAGAGTCAAAGTATTTCCACCATAGGTGGCTGAGATAGTTTGTTTTGTTATCACTTTAGACATTATTCTGGGAGGTAGGGATGTCCCGATCTGCACTGTAACCACCAATCGGGTCCTTTAATATAAGTACTGAATTTACACATTTTCGTACATAATTTAGCCAAATAGTTCACACTTCTAGCACATTAAAGTTAGACAAGTCAATCCAATTTAGGCATGACATTCAGAGTCGGCAATTACTTAAAATGCTACAATAAAATAACTTCATATTTTGGTACACATTGTGGTCTCAAGAGTGTCAAATATGTTACAGTTGTATTTTGAAAACACTCACACTTTGCCTGTGGCCAGTTTATAGTTTGGCTAACTTAAGTGCTGAAGGTTTTGGATAATGTCCATTTAGGACACCACTAGGACAGCCGGAACGAAAGATTGGGCTTAAAGTATCAGTCTAGCAGAACATGTCTGATTCTTTGAAATCAGACCGGGATGTCCCTGACAACAAGCACAAGACATAGTGTTTACTTTGTGCATATGTGTGTTTTGCTTGTCAGTTACTCACCATGAAGCGCAGGTCATCGAAGCCGTTCAGCAGCAGTTTGCTCTCGTACTGCGGCAGGCCCACATGCTCCAGCCAATCACCCACAGGCTGGTCCAACAGCCGGCTGACCCCACCTGCTGACAGAGGGAAACGCTTCAGCAGGGAAAAACCCCGCAGCCGGTAGCATCGGCACCCGGAGGACGACATGTGGCACTGCCACATCATCCTCGGCCAGCAGTGCCGGGAGCATAAGCACCAGGAGGGCAGGGGCGACAGCGTCCTGGCAGAGAGAGGGGCACCAGTGCCCGAGAATTCACCAAAGAAAAGTGGGAGGGTACGGGTCAGGGTTTACAGCGGTCTGGGTTTGATGGTCAAGTGGTCAAGGTGGTTAAATAGAGTCCAGAAGCAGGCATTCCAGAGCAGGACATCATCAAATACTAAACTTGGGCTCCTTCAGAATAACTGTCAGAACTGCTAGAGAAATATTCAGAAGTTTGTCTAAAGATCAAACACTCCAGTTTTAATTAAGGCCATTGTACAAATGACCTTTTCTCCTGAACAGTCCAAGTGTTCATAATTACATCCATAAGAGTTTCAAAAAGTTCTGAACAATAACCACATTTGTTCGGGAAAAGTTCAGAAGTTATGCCTAAAGATTAAACTGTCCAGGTTGATGCAGGTTCTCAGTTCCTGATTAAGACCAGAATACACCACTTCACTGCAGCCCACAGGTTTAAGGTTCCACAAAAGTACCCACTGGAGTCACAACAACAATCTCCAACAAATAGTGACCCAGGAAAAGCTTAAAACCAGTAATTTCTAAAAGAGTACACTTGCAGATCCTCATTCTTGTCAAACGGACTTCTTCGAATGTTCCAGGTTATCATTTTCAGATTAAGATACAAGTCCACTGGACAAATAGCAAGTCTCACCACACAGCATGGAAATACATCCACAGTATGTAGAAAGTGTTTGTGCCCCCAGAAAAAGCAATCTCCTGCTTGCTTAAAATCAGGGAATTGCCTCTTTTCTGAAAGAGCAAGCTTGCAGATCCACTCTGATTGACTGGGTTCCTTAATGAGAATAGACTGCAGCGGATGGCAAGACGAAGAAATAAACATCAGCAAGCTGTTGGTGGGTCTCTCCTGAGCAGGCGGAGCTTTAGAGAAACCAGGGATCAGATCATTAGGCCAACAACAAGACCCATGTGGTCCCTGTCTCTCTGCCCACAACAAAGTCTTGCACGCAAATCAAAGAAGTCGTCCCTGCAGATCCTGGTGAATGAAGCCACATGCCACGCTTGCCAAGCAACGCACCCAGAGTAGCAATTAACGCTCCGGTTTATAGCAGCTAATTAAATGCTAATTATGTTATGGCATAAAAGCCAGAGCCTTCTCGGAGTCTTGCAAAATTTCTAGCTGAAAGTCAGCGCAACTGGGCACGAGGGTCTTAACAGCATCCTGGAAACTCTTAAATCTAATGGGCTGCCGATTTTCTTCAGCCTAAGTGCATGCAGACGGGATCCTGATTCAATCTCCGCTAGGAGCTAAAGTGGCCTGGCTTGCATGACTTGCATTTGCCAAATTCGCTAAGCGCTTTTCATGATCAAAAAGGTGCACAAGCTCATGATAACACATTAAAAGCAGAGAGAGAGCTGGGCCAGTTCCCACAGCTCGGCACAGCTGTTATCTGCTTTTACTATTTTTTCTATCACCAGCACTAGAGTGCAGCATCAATTACGCGCCCCTTTTGTCAACCCCAGATATACTCAAACTTGATAACTCCGCTACAGAGAGCATAAACACCAGCTTACCTCAAACCTCCTCTGATCAGAAGAGCAGAAGCAAAGCTTTGAGATAAATCCACACTAAACTGACTCATTAGGGTTAGAAACTAACATTCTCAAGCAAGAGTCCGGCTCTACTGTAACTTAGTTTTGAGACTTGGTTGAAGGAAGCCTTTCCAGAAACGTTTAAGAATGAGCGTCAGGAGCGAATCCCACAGTCGAAATCCAGGCTTTGCAGTATCGTTTCCCCCGAGCATTAGGTGATTGGATATCTGGAGTATTCCGCTGCTGAATTTGAGCAAAACTTAATCTCTACTCCGGACGATCGCTCCAGGCTCGGTCATGGAATTTGAGCAGAAACTGTGACCACGTAATCCCAAGGATGTGAAAGCTGCTATCCTCCAGTCAATTCTGCTCTGCAGCCTTCTGTTCTGTCTCCTTCCCTCGCGCTCTCACTTGCTCTCGATCCTCCGCTGCCTCCCTCCTCCCTCTCTCTCCACCCGCCTCTTTCCCCTTCAGAGAAACCGCAGGGCTGGTGTTCATTGTCTGAGGAGTCAAGCAATCGTTACGCTCAACAAATTTCTGTCCCCCGCCCTTTTTGTACCCTTTCCCCACCTCTCTCTTTCTGTTTCGTCATGTCACTAGGGACAGCAGTGATGACCAGCAGGTCTCACAGAGACAAGAAGGTTGTCTCTCAACACTAAATGATCTCAGCAAATGCTAATTAACAGGTTATCCATGTCACGCTCGATGGAACCACTGACATCACTGATCACAATCTAAAGGAAGAACATGCATGAGTGCACCCCCGCCCAGACTTATTACTATGCTGCAGGGCAAACCAATTCATCCCCTAACCCACACTCACATTAATATTTTAGTACATTTCCCCATACAGACCACTGCAAACACAGCAAGAGCTGCCAAAGTGTTGCAACAGGATTGTCAAACTTTATATCAACAACAACTAATGCTATAAAATGGAGATAAATTACATAAAACTTAAAGTTAGGACTCTCATGATCTCTCAATTAAATAACACAAACAATTAATAAACCGTTAAACCAGCTTAGTGATTTGTTTAAATGATGCAGTGAATCTGCAGGTCAGTATAACATTGTGTTCAGCTATCTCCACAAAAAGGAGCTATCAGCACTCAAATCAGTTTTGAGAGCATCACTGAAAAAGAGGAAACCCACACCAGCAGGATCTCACTACTTTATGTATGTTTATAGCTACAAACTGTGTGTATATGATGTAAAATACTAAGTACTGCCAGACAGTTTAGCTCTATTTGTAGTTAATTTTGTACACATATTTAGAACTGACACGTTTATAAATACATAAAAAAATTAATATTTACAACAATCTTTCAGTACAGTTTGGCAAAGGCAGGTAAGGTGAATCCTGAGAGAAAATCTTATTCACCTTTATTTCAATTTCAACACACAAAATGAGTGTAGAATTTATGTAATATATTAATATTATATATATATACACACTTTAGGTAGGGAATATTTTTTTTCCTTCATTGTATTTGTTATGCTAATTCCAAATCCTAAATAAACTAAATTTCAGTTTCAGCTTTTGGCCAAGATTTTTTATTTCACTGCATCACTGTTATTAACACTGTACCTTCATCACACAGAGGGCGATGACACTGAGACGCTAAATATTACCATAATAATCAGCAGAGGGACACGACAAAGCCCTCCAAGAAGAGAACATTTCTCCAACTAGGGTGCCTGCAGGAAACAGGAAATGAGGTCGTAGGCATAGGCGTCTATGGGACAGACAGAAGACTCGTCCTCTAGCTGAGTTGACGCAGAGAGAACAAATCATAACTGGGTCAAAAACCCAGAAAGAACAGACAGAACACACTGATCCATCACGAGAGCCCATTAGTACAACAGAACCGGAACGAGAACAAGACTCTAAAGTAGAGGACCTTCAGGCAAGCTCCTTAGAACAAAAGCAATAACATATAACACAGAGCTGCATGGACAGGAACAGCACTGACCACACACTGTCCTCCACTGAGGTGATACTGATCAAGAGGCAGCTAACGCAGAGTCACTGTCTGGTTAAGTGGAGTCATTAACTCTCTGCTGCAATCAGGTTAATGACTTTATGATACAGTCACAGACAGAAATCCTGAACAGTGAAAAAATCTTTGTTGGTAGTGAAAATTGATGGTGTTACAAAACCTAATGTGCTCACCAGCAGCTGATTTAGTGCCTCTGAGCCCAAAGTTACACCAAAATGAAAGATTTTACAAAACAGATGGGTGTGACACTAGTCCCCCAATAAGAGAACACCCTGGATCGAAATCCACCAATAGCAGAACACCTTTGGCTAAAAATCCACCAAAAGGAGAATACCTTTGGCTAAAACTTCACCAATAGGAGAACACCTTGGACAAATTCCACCAATAGGAGAACATATTTGGCTAAAAAATCCACCAATAAGATAACATCCTGGATTAAAAACCACCAATAGGAGAACAGCTTGCATATAAATGAACCAATAGGAGAACAATTTGGTTAAAAATCAACTTTTGGCTAAAAATCCACCATTGGAGCACCCCTTGGCTAAAAATCCATTATTTGGAGAACATCTTGGCTAAAAATCCACCAATAGGAGAACACCTTTCGCCAAAAATCTACCAAGAAGAGAGCTTCTTGGCTAAAAAAAAAATCACCATTAGGAGAACACCTTGGATAGAAATCTACCAATAGGAGAACACCTTGGCTAAAAATCCATTAATAGGAGAACACCTTGGCTAAAAATCCACCAAAAGAAGAACACCCAGGCTAAAAATCTATAAATAGGAGAACACCCTGGCTAAAAATCCATAAATAGGACAACACCTTGGCTAAAAATCCACCAATAGGAGAACACCTTGGCTAAAAATCCACCTATAGGAGAACACCTTGGCCAAAAATCCATGAACAGAACACCTTGGACAGAAATCCATCAACAGAGGAATGTCAAAACAAAAATACACAACCATGGCCAAACATCTATCAACAGAATGGCATGAGATTTAAAAAAAAACAAAAAAACAGCTGAAACTATAAGTTGGCAGAGCAGATGGACAGGTCTGGCTACAGCAACAACACAAACAATATCACACAAACTGAAATAGAATCTGGCTGAGATTTTACTGGAATCATCTCATGCAGCAGCAGATGCACAGTTTACATTCGTAAAGTGGTAGATATGGTCAGCAGTCTGATAAAAGAACGGTCCGGCAAGAACTGTGGACTGAACAATAAAGCAATTAGCACAAAGCTTAACATCTCACTGTCGACCAGCTTTCCTGAGTAAGACCTTCTCTCAAAGTCCATTACTCCAGCAGCTAACACACCAGCTCCCCCACTAACCAAGGTCATCCATCACCAAGGCTAAACGTCTCAGCATCCATCGATTTAACTCTCCAGGGTCCCACTGTCCTTCACCAGATCAGATCACAGCGCACCAACTCACTCTCTACTTAAAGACACAGACGTCCAGAGTGGTCAGGTCTTCTCCAGTGTGACCGCGAAACCTGGTATCCTCTGAATGTTTGGAGAGCTCATTCTGTTCCAGCCTTTAGATATTCAGTGGGATCTGGTTACGTACGGGAGCTGCAGCCACACAGATATAATATTCCCAAAGAGGGCAATGCAGCAGCAGGACACTGAAGCTGAAGCTAAAGCTAAAGCCTTTGTACTTTAGCACCTGTAATGCTGAGCAATTACACTGTCAAATAATATTCACTATAATGAACAGCCTGCCTGCTTAATAAAACCGAGCTTTCCTTTTTACAACAGCGTGATTAAAGATAGGCCGGCTGTGTGATTTCTTTATTAGCTCGTTTGGAGTGATGGAAAGCTCCTGGAATTCCAAACAAGCAAAAGCCCAGCTCTGTTTAACTCAGTTTCAATGATCACTTTAGAGAGCACCTTCGGTTTAAAGGGGAATTCCACCATTTTTTCAAAATTTCTGAATAATTAAAACATTAAATAATTCAGACTCAGATGTGTTTACAGTGGTGGTGATAGGATCCAGGGGTCACCATGACTACAACACAAACAGACATTTTATTTACTATCCAAAACCACCAGTGAACCTACACGTGTCTTCTGAGTTTTATATGGAATGTTGATGATGGGAAAATAGTGGAAAATTTGAAATAATAAGTTTTCTTTGGGGACTATTTTGCCTCACAGTGCTCTGCATATAAATCTTCTCAAAACTATCATAAAACAATGTCTCAGTCATCAGGCAGTGTATTCATAACCATTTCATGTAATAACTTTCTGTGAGGGAGCTTTTAGAGGTGGACGCCTGGTTCCTACCAACACCACTGTGAACAATTCTGACTCGGTAAGTTTCTCTAGAACAGAGCGTTTCACACCAGACCACTCTGAGTGACTCTGTTTACATCTGTTTAATTATGCAGAACTTTCGAAAAATCAGTGGAATTCCCCAATAATTGATCACATTAGGTCAGCTGATGTCTGGTGGATTCCTCAAAGAAACACTTCACCAGAAAAATGCGAATGCGGAGGATAACCAGGAGCCACATTAGCATTTTTGGCGTTAATTATTTCATTAAGCTCTTCTGATCATTCTTATAGCATGGAGCTCATGGGGGGGGTGAGGGCAACGTTGGACAATTATCAAATATAAGTTCTGATCTCAGACTATAGCAGAAATGTGAACAGGTGTTTAAGTTGAAGGCGGTGAAATTATAACACCTTAAATTCAATGCTACCTTAAATGACATGGCAGGGGACAAGGGAAGAGATTCCAATGCAGCTTAACTTAACTTCCACAGTGCAACTACTGCAGGTCTTGAAATTACATGAATAAAAATACAAATATACGAAATTGTCTCTGAAACAAGCACAAGTCTTTTCTATGCTATTAAAAATGTTCAGATCTCTGCATTATTATTAGTGTTTTTAACAGTTGCAGTCCTAAAATCAGGGAGTGCTGCAGCCTCCTGAAATGTACTCATTAGCTCCAACTTCCCAAGCTTAGTCTCGCAGAGCCAGATGTGACCTCGTACCACGAATGTCCATGGAGAATCATGAGAAAATCTGGGCTGAATGTGGGGACGTAGACTTATTGTGGTTGGAAGAAACTGAGAGTGAAATTTCTACACCAATCCAATACCTTGCAAAGGAGGGCTTACAGTAGGAGGCGCTGGAGCACTCGTTAAAAAGTCTGTCGTTAGCACAAGGGTGCAAAGTAAGTCAGCGTGGGTAAATAGTCCCCCAAAAACTCCAGTTAAGAATGTAGATGTGAGATTACGGTAAAAATAAACATTAACTCCAAAAGGTGTAACAGTTCAGTTAAACTGATCTATCTCAGTAAGCTAGTTGTGCTAGCGAGCTAGTTAGCTAATGTTAATGTTAAAAGCCGTTTACTTCATGTTATGAGCTGTAACATCTACTTCGAAATGCATGCTCTCTGGAATGGTTTATGGAGTTGAAACGGAGAAGCCAGTAACTATTATTAACAATGACACTGTTCACATTTCAAATAAAGTTGACAGGTTTAAACACTGCATCGCACTAATCGATAGATTATTCGACTATCAAATTAGTCGTTTGTTGCAGCCCTAGTGTGGATCACTGAAAATTAGAATGTAATTTTAACTTATTCATTCATTCATCATCATTAACCGCTAAATCCGGATATGGTCGCGGTAGCAGTTGGGAGAGCAGAGAATCCCAGACAACCCTGTCCCCTGCAACTTCCTCCAGCTCATTCCCAGGGACCCCAAGCCTCTCCCAGGCCAACTTGGAGATATAATCTCTCCAGTGGATCCTAGGACAACCCCGGGGTCTTGTCCCAGTAGGCCGTGCCTGGTACACCCCCACCAGGAGGTTCAGGATCAGATGCCCGTACCACCTCAACTGGCTCCTCTCAAAGCAGAGTAGTAGCGGCTCTACTCCAAACTCGTCCCGGATGACTGACCTCCTCACCCTATCAAGGAAAGTGTAGCCTGCCACCCTGCGAAGAAAGCTCATTTCCGCAGGTTGTATTTGCAATCTCATTCTTTCATTCGTTACCCACAGCTCACAACCATAGGTGAGGGTCGGGATGTAGACCGACTGGTAAAAAGTCACCACTACAGTCCGGTACAGTGACTGCATTACTGCTGCCACCTGTCCCAGCCTGCGGCCAATCTCACGATCCCTCTTCCATCACTCGTGAACAAGACCCCAAGATACTCAAACTCCCCCACCTGGGGCAGGTCCTTTCCCCTTGCCCAGAGTGGTCATGCTATCCTTTTCAAAATATAATTTTAAGTTATATTTAAATTTATTTAAGCTTAAACCTGTTAAGTAACTTTTGACGCAATAAGTTTGTATAATATTTCAAGGTAAACTAAGTTTACAGTGAATCTGAAGTGGTTTTATTGAATCGACTATGTGTGTTGAGCTTCTGCTAAATTTCACTAGCAAGCATGTTGTGCTGAACTATGAACATTAAAAAGAGCACACGCTAGGGGGTGGGGTTTAAAAGTTTAACAAGTTGCCCCCAGAGCTTATGAGATCATCTGGCTCTGCAAGACTAGTCAAACCACAGAATAATGAATATGGAATATTTCCACAACTTCTCCCACCTCTAACGTTCAGGGTAAATTGGTTCACACTGAGTAGAAGAGCAAAGACAGTTAGGAGAACCCACCTGATGCACTGCTCTCCTGATCTTTGGAGAAGTCGATGCCAGCTCCTATTAACGTCATGATCTTCTCAATCTGAAAGAACGAGAGGAAGCTGGTGTTTATATGAAGGTTAGAGATTCACCTGAGCTCCTGAATCCAGACTGAACAGAAAGACTGCAGTGATTTATGTGACCGACTGAAATCGGTACTCATCAGCAGGCGACTCATCCATCAGCAGCACGTAAAGACAGACGCACATGGCCACACGGGGACATGACTGAACGGTGGGATCGTCAGATTATTCCTCATTGTTTTTCTGATGTGTTATAAACGCTCTTCCTCACTGTTAGATAGAAAATGTACCCAAATGGCTCTCACACCGAAGTAAAAAGGCCTTTTCAGGAGGCTTAACATACAATTACGGAACTCACCTGATGTCTCGCAGACTGATTTGGATAGAATACTCTTTCAGCATGAAAGCAGGTGGATCTTTTAAATAAAAACTGTACTTCCGTTTGGGCCCACTGAGACTTCCAGTCTCTTTTGTTTTTTGTGAGGGTGTAATTTGCTGTAAATCACTAGGATTGGTTACTGGGTTAATTGTAAGGCACCTTTTTCTGTGTCTTTCTCATTGTTCCTCATCAGTCAGGACAGACCACACCTCTGTGATTGGGTCCAGGTGTAACCGGAGTTCTTGTATTTGTCAGTATTGGCTACTGCACACCATCTAAAGCCTACTGCACAATTGTCTTAACACTACTATAGCTGTCTAGAAACTACCGTACCCTGTCTAAAAAGTACCACACACTCTCTAAAGACAACAGCAGGTGTCTAAAAACTACCACACACTGTTTAAAGACTACTGCAGCTATCTACAGGCTACCGCACACTGTCTAAAATCTACCATAGCTGTCCAAAGGCTACCACACACCATCTAAAGGCTACCACTAAAGGCTCAGTCTAAAGGCTATCGGACAATGTCTAAAGGCTTCCGTATTCCGTCTAAAGGCTACCACACTACATCTAAAGGCTAATACACAACATCTAAAGGCTACCACACAACGTCTAAGGGCTACCGCATGACGTCTAAATACTACCATACACCATCTAAAGCTTACAACAGCAATCTAAAGGCTATTGCACGCCGTGTAAAGACTACAGCAGCCACCTGAAGGCTACTGCACACCATCTAAAGACCACTGCAGTCATCTAAGGGCTAGCACATTCCATCTAAAGGATACCGGACGACATCTTTGCGCTACCATGTGACATCTAAAGGCTACCACACTATGTCTAAGGGCTACCGCATGATGTCTAAAGGCTACCACATGAAGTCTGAAGACTACTGCACACCATCTAAAGACCACTGCGGTTGTCTAAAAGCTACCACACACCGTCTATAGGCTACTGTACGCTGTCTAAATACTACTACACACCATTCTAAAGCCTACAACAGCCATCAAAAGGCTACTGCATGCAGTCTATAGGTTACCGCAAGCTGTGTAAAGACTACCGCGGCCATCGAAAAGCTCCTGCACACTGGAAAGAAGCGCCACACTGTGCAGCAGACAGTACACAGCTCAGCTGTAGTGTATAGAAAAGCTCCAAAAAACATTAAACTCAACATTATTTTACTCTCTACTGTACAGATGTAATGGAGTAAAACTTTCAATATCACTTTCAATATCAGGTTTGGTATCAGATAACTCACAAATTCAGGCAACAGGTGAACATTTCTCTGTTTCTCTTAAAGACTTTAGATTGACACCTTTGAAATGTCATTTACCGTGGACTAATGCCTTACAAATACCAACAGCAAATTTGACTGAAATGCTGTCCCTAGAATCTGTCCATACTCAGTATTATAATATCTGTAACAGAAAAGACCATCATTTAATTTCATCAATATTTGAGGTGGCCTTGGATGCCTTGGACCAAGTTGTCGTTTGAATATATTCTTTTTGTTTGATCCCTTCATATACATAAACATGAATGAAGACGGTTTTTCACAGTAAAGGATCAAAGACTAGCGCTGATCTGCTTCTATTTAAAAATAGATTGAATCAAAAAGTTCATGAAAAATGAAACAGAACTGTGGATAAGGTGGGTCTTGATTTCTGCTTGATTCCACTAAATGTCTCCAAATGCTGGACCTTATCTAATAAAACTCCAGACGGTCCCTCTCCTCACTGCTGTAACTCCTGATTCTGCTTCCTGAGTAAAAGGTCAGTGTTATGACTCTCACATCCAGACAGAAACGAGGTCAAACAGAGGTCACGTCTCAGGATTTCTGTCTGAGCAGATGAGATGATGCTCTCTAGAATTTAGGACGTTACATCACTACCTGACTAGACTTCAGGTCAAACAGAGGAAAAGTGGTAAGTCCTTATGTAACAGACGAAGCTCCTTAAAAATCATTCTAATTGGATCCTAACATTTTACTGCTCCTAATTAGTCCTGAAAGGAGCTTGAGGAAGATACAGAACTTAAAGTTCCTGTGACAGACTGAGGGGGCTTTTCAGTTCACTTTGGCCTTTTCAGGCTTTTGAGTGTTCTCAAAGTGCTAAGCGAGAGATTTTTTGCTTGTATGTTAACATGTCCTTCAAACACAGACCTTCTAAATGTATCAACAAATGAACCGAACTTAGAACTCCTCCTGAGCTGCTTACTGCTTTTTTAAAAGGCAGATAGTTCCGGTTCTGAAGTCTGATTGGCTAAGCCACGCTCGATGCCGTTCTACAATCCACAATATATGCACAGCTATGACTGCCTCACAGTGACTGAATTGTGTATTACTGCACCATGACACGAAACATCCTTGTGCTGTAATTGGAATAATCTTTGACTCTAATGCTGCTCACATGGAGCACCTGGTGTATTGATGAAGTAAGAACCTGGTTCTGTTTAAACTGAGGAGCTGACAGTTTATCTTCTTATCCAGAACTAGGCTAGTCAGCTAGCTAGTGCACTATGTAGGGAGCAGGGAGCTGATTGAGATATCGACCCAATCCCATTTTATCCCTTGCCCCTACCACTTAGCCCTTAGCACTCTGTTTTACGCGTTCATGTCTAGGGGAAGGGTGTCCCAATTTTTGTTGAGATAGAGAGGTAGGGCGAAGTGTTAGGGCCACATGGCCCTCCAAACGGAGGTTTTTCAGATGCACACTCCAAACAGAGTGTTATGAGAAAAAAAGCAGCAAGATGGCTGCGCGAGCGACCAAAGAAACCCACAAATGTAAGTAATTTCTGTGTTAAAAAATATGATAACCATTGTATTATCTTAATTTAATGTTGTTTGAATGCATTATGGTCCTTTTATTCATAACAAGCACAAAAATCGTGAATAGTATGCTAATATCTCCATTGCCATCACTGAAGACGGGCCGGGTTGCCTACAGAGCACCATTAGTAGCCTGTTAATGAAGCAATTTTTTTTTTTTACTGAGGGTTGTTCCATTTCATAGGGAAAGATTTCAATGACTACCCTTTGTAACTCAGTTCCAAGGGGCAAGGTAACACTCAAAAACAAGGGACAGGGGTAAAAAGAAGAAATGGGATTGGGCCTTAGCCCCAGCGTGAGAAGAGGGGCGCTGCTGGATTGGTGGCAATTTGTTGAAAAAAAGTACTTATAAAGCGAACATTTTTGCATAAACAGTGCTGTGTTGTCATATGTTCATTGTTATATGACAAAAAGTTTAAAAGTTTATGAAAGGACCGCAATATACAGCAAAGGGTGACCAAACGCTCTCCTCATTTAGCAGTCTATGATTGCTTGGCCATGATACTGTACTCTAAAGGAACTGCATTTTTCAGAGAAATACTTGTTTATGTAAATTATTATTAATAATAACAAATTACTTACTGAAAAATTGTGAATTTCATTTGGCTGCCATTTTATAAAAGCAATAAGTCACTTGAGGCTGTGCGTTACAGTGATTTTATCACAGGGAAGGAGGTTTTACTCTGCTTCACTTCCGTGATAAAACTACAGTAACGCACAACCTCTCGTAACTTAGTGCTTTAATAAAACACAGAAATTGTTACCAATAGATACTATTAGATACTATTAGAGCTCAGCCTGGTCAGCCTACAGATCGTATTCATAGCCAGTGATGCATCTAGAACTTCCAGAAGGATGAGATTGATGTTTAAAATTTATCCCAGCCATTCCTGCGTAGATAATTTTCTGTAGATTGATTCAAGAGTAGCTCTCTTCTGTTTCCAAATAAAACTAACAATGAAATAAAAGCATTATTAAAATACATACAGAGTTTGAATACAACATACAGGATTACTTTTTTTTTAAACTCGAAATAAATCAAAAACGACAGAAATCATTAGGCCTTTGTGAACATCCAGAAGGCTCTGAGGGTTCCCTGCTGGTTTAAAGGTACAAAAACACAGTGGAGGAAAAACAGGAGTCTGAGGAGAGAAAGTTATTAAGTTGCTTAGCTAAGCGAAAAAGAACCACAGAAGCAAAACTACCAGCTGGCTGCAGAACTCCGAAAGGGCAGAGATGAGATGAGACAGCAGAAACAAAAGGAACCCGCACCTGCTTAATAACATTCACAGCCTTGGAGCACTCAGTGAGTTCTCAAAAACCTCAACCAAACATCAACCAAAATCTAAATAAAACTTCAACCAAAACCCTTTCAAAACCAGAACAAAAACCTAAACCAAAATCTCAACTAAAACTCAATCAAAAGTTCAACCAAAACTTAAATCAAAGCCCAACCAAACTCTCATCCAAAACATAAATCAAAAACCTCAGCCAAAAACCAACTAAACTCAACTAAAACCCACACTACTACCCAAACCAGAACCCAAAGAAAAACCCCAACCAAAACCAAACCCAATTAAACCCAACCCCCAATCCACAATCAAAATCTAACCAAAACCCAACCAAGACCCTCCACCCAGACATGCTCATAAAAGATTCCCAAAACACAAGCAGACAGGAGGCGGCGGAGGATGCAAGCGCTCAAAGAGAGTCTTACGCTGTGAGCAGACTGGGGTCTCCGGGGACCGATGGAGATACAGGTCTTTCTCTGCTGGAAAAAAATCAACTTTTAAAACAGATCCCACTTTAAAATTAGAGTTCAGTGAAAATTTGCATAAATGATCTGACATCATGTTATCTATAAAAGCAGACAAACATACAGGTTCCTATTGTGTTCAGTTATGCTAATGTACTTTAGACCATGTTTATAGATAACAGTGAGTCAGAAAACACAATCAAGTCTATTACAGATACTGAACACCTCCACACCCTTTCAGTGATGATTTAGTCCTGCAGCTACTGACTTACAGGTGCACGATAGAGAGCACTTTATGTATTCTAGGACAGTCTGGAGACTGGACTGTTCTGAGGGTAAAGTGCTGGAGAGAGCTGTGATTGCAGCACAGAGGAATAGGGGAGATAAACTTCATCACTTACAATCTCTGCACACTGATAGAGTCCGTTAGTGAGCATGATGAGCACTGTGGAGGATCAGAATCTACGGAGAGGAATTCGTGCCAAACTGAAAAGCAGCAACTACAGTGGAAAAATGTGTTAGAATTGAATACAAGCCACCCTGAAATGTAATAAAGGCACAATTATACTGCATTACACTGCAGTACTTTAAACAGAATTAAATCAGTGTAATACATCCTTTACTTTTCATTTTGGCATGTTTTCTGCATGTTACTGTTTAAATGTACTCTTTGGTATTCACTGCATTTCACCATTTTGGTCATATTTTAATGAGGCAAATATATGTGAAGCACAAAAAAGAGGTGAAAACAGTGTAATAGAGGGTTTGCTTTTCATTTTGGCAAATTTTCCGCATCACATACCTTTATAAAATTTTAAGGCGAACTGTATTCAATTCTGACAAACTCTTTTCATGCACTGTTTTCAATGAAGGCAAGGTAAGTTTATTTATATAGCACCTTTCATAAACTGCAGTTATACAAAGTATTATACAAATGAGGAAATACAAATATAATTAAAATTTAAAAAGTAACGAAGTGGAGAATAATAATTAAAACAATAGATTTTAAAAGAGAAGATGTTTACATTTACTTAAGAATCAACTTAAAAATAAAATGAGGATAAAGAGGTCAAGCGATGTTAAACCAGTGTAACAGAGATTTCATACTTCATTCTGGCTCATATTCTGCATCTCACTATGGAAGAGTAATGTCATGTGTTTCACATTTTTCCACTGTAGTTACTGCTTTTCAATCTGGCACAAATTCCTCTCCATAAGAATCAGCCTGGACAAGAGATTTTTTTCTTTTATGTTCTGGTCAGGTCTGAGAAAAACCAGCTAAAGAAAACATGAGGCAGATCTGTCCACCTTCAGGAGAGACACATTTACAGCCAATCACAAAAGATCTATTCATTCAGTAAATCTCTCCACATCCCTAAAACACAGCCAATACAGAGTGACTTATCCAGACTCCTCTAAATCAATGCAGCCTTTCATATCAGACAGCAGAAAGCAGCAGCTCACAAAGCTTACAATGCTTTCCCTACCTGCTGCTGCAGATGTATGGACAGTGTAGACAGTGGTGGGTTTAGTGGGGCATGATGATGCAGGGTGGGCCACTAAACAGCCCCCTGAGGGCAAGCCTGGTTCACAGAGATGATAAACAGCTCCCTGAAGATGTTTGGGCACCCCGGTCAAATTCCAACTTTTGCCGAGTGAAAAGAATTACTTAATTTAACATATTGGGGGAAAAGTTCAACTTAAAAACAAAGTGTGCCATAATATTTGAACGGGCCAGATTTTAACTTTAATTTTTGCCCCCAATATGTTAAATGCAAATTCTTAATGCTTTCCACTAGAGACTACTAGTATCCTGTAGAACCCCTTTAGCTTCCATTAGGAACCATCAAATGCATTTAGAATCAGCCACTGGTCACATGTTAAACCATTAGAGTCATTTACACTGTGATATCAACCCATTAAAAAGACAAAACACATTACAGAATCATCAGGAACCAACATACACACTTAACGGTTTCTATGGGTTTATCCAGCAGGGAACGTTTCGGTTCTACAGCGGAAAAGAGGTTGAAGTGCTACGAGTTGGCAAACGTGAGGATCTCCTACTTTACCACCTTCTACATTCTTCAGATTAAACTCTGAATCACTTTTTCAGGATGTGAACTTCACCTCTTTAATCCAGACTTGTAACTGAGCAGAGTGGAAAACTCAAACTTCCCATCAGACTTCTGATTAATTCACAGCTACAAACTGCATCTGAACAATATGACGAAAGAGTTACCTACTAATTACTATCTGCCATCATCATCATCACTATTATTATATTATTATCATTATTATCACTCTAAGTGGTTTAGATGATGTGTGTGTGTGTGTATTATCACTCTTCAGCAATATCAACCTTCTTGTGTTATTACTGATATTACTGATAATATCAACACTCTTTCTGATGATGTAACCACAATTAAAGCAATTTTCAGCTCATTAAAATCTTTTTCTCACATTAAAATGTTGTTTGTTTTTCCCTCTCAAAGAGGAAAAATGATTAAGATATGGTCTGCCCTCAGAGCTGTGCTGAAGGTCAGACTGTACTGTGTGCTATTATTTTGGGGGGTGGGGGGTGGCACTCTACAGAAACAATCCCCTTTATATCTTTATTTGTGTGTGTTTTCACTGTGAGGTCATTTCCTGCATCCTCTCCTGCAGAGTTTACCCAGACGGACCCCCGAGAGCCGAATGCCACCAGAACACTAATCTCTCTCTCATCCCCATACATCTATCTCTCTCACTTTCTTATCCCTCTACATCTTTCTCTTTCTCTCTCATCCACATCTCTCCCCCTCACCCCGTACATCTCTCCCTCTCTCTCACATTATCTATCTCTATCTCTCTCCAGCTTGAATGGGCATGACGCCCCTGCTTTTCAATATTAAACTTGGTAAAATTATTTCAGTTTGTGTATCAGTGTATTTTGAACATTATCAGCCTCTTTTAACATCACAGCAATAAAACCGATTACTGTGATAATCAGGCATGGGGGAGTAGCTGAGTAGCGCACTACTTTTTGTAGCTAACTACAAATTTTTGTAGCTAATAGCTGTAGCCGCTACAGTTTTATGAAATGTAGCTAACAGCTGTAGCTACAAATTTAGCCTACAATTTTTGTGTAGCTATAGCGATAGTTTTCGCTACAATTTCAATACATGCTTCAGGCAATCCGTCCAAAATCCAAACCATAGAACGCGGTCGTTAACTGGGCTAGTGTCGATTGTGCAATCCCTGACTGAGCCATGGACAGTTCTAGCAAATGGGCACGTGCTGGTCTCACACGCTGATCACCCATTACTAGTAGGCTTAGCTCAGGGGTTGGCAACCGAAATGTTAAGAAGAGCCATTTTATCTTTTCAACAAAAATGAAACCACCTTCGGAGCCACAACATTTAAGGTCCATTTTACCATCATGGCTGTAAGCATGTCTCAATATGTGCTGATGTACTAGTACAGGCTAAAAATATAAAATAAATGCCAACGCAGACATACTTTGCTCTACTTTAAGCTTTAGCTCAGCTATAGCTGCTTTTCTCAAACCTCAGTCAGGAAGCTCTTCCTCAAAAGTAGAATAGTGTCTTGTAAAATGTGTTTGTACAAGGCTTAAGTCGCTTCTCTTTCACCAGCTTCTCGTTTGAATTGTCCTGTCCCACCTTAAATTGTGCCTGAGACGCCAGAATTTATCTGCGTTGCTGTGACCCCTACACTCCTGTGACCAGCAGTCTGCGCGTCAGTCTTCAGCGTTAAAGGTTGGTGAATTAGCAGTTATAACTCTAGCGTTTAAGATCATTTATTGTTGAAACTGTGTTAGAACCGTGTGTTATAACAATCACCAGAGCTTTATTTTCTGCAAAGAAGGATTATGTTATTTTACCTAAAAATCTAATGGTGCTGTGGAGCCGCAACAGGGCAGTTAAAGAGCCGATCCCTGGCTTAGCTAAAGCAGAAAAAACATTTTCATAATAGACTATTACTAACAGTACTGTACAGATCCAGGGTCACTGATGAGAATTTTGAGGCTAAAGTATTGCTGAAGTTTAACAAAGGACTCTGAATGTCATGTCTGTGCAGATCTTGCTGAAATGTTTAAATTGGAGCAATTTTATTTCAACAGTAGACAATGCTTTGCACGAAGTTGTTTGGTTTGTATACGGTTATTTTTGTTTATTTTTCTTAGGAAAAACCCTGAATGGCTGACTTTGCTCTTACTTAGTCTAATTTTTTGTTGGATATCACACCTTTGGTTGTGTAAGTTTGATTGTTGGTTACAGTTAAACTTACTTTTTGGTGATCATTTTTGTATAGTTGCAGCTTTTCAATTCCTTCTTTCTGGCACATGATTAAATGCAGTGTCTTGTTCACACTTTCAGTCGGGCTTGTTTGGTGTGTCAGGTGGAGAGTCACAAAATTCTGACAACTGCACTTTGAAAGTAGTTAAAAAGTAGTGCACTATTTTCAAAAAGTAGCTTATAAGCAGTCACTACTTTTTCAGAAAAAGTAGCTAAATTGTAGCTAGCTACAAACTTTGGGAAAGTAGCTTGCTGCTAATTTTTCAATAGCTATCCCAACCCTGGTGATAATTTTGGTGACCAATAAAGTGGCCGAAATCCTGAATTTTAGTCCTAAATTCCTGTTTGGAACATTAAAAGTAACTTGTAAATGGTGGAGTCCATGTGAAGCCACAGAGCCAAACACTAAACACCAGCCGCTCTGCTAACATGTAAACACACTTTACTAAGCAAACAGAGAATGAATATTACATGCTAGCTAAAAAAATAAAGGAATAAACACTAAATAATGATGACTAAGCCAACCACATCCTGAACATTAAAAGAAGAAGGGAATGACAACACAGTGAAGCTGGTATAACCAAAATGAAGACTGGAGAGGTTCTGCTACGCTTACACCAAAGAACCAACTCTCACACACTTACAGAACAAAGAGAAACAAACACGTCCAACCCTCTGGAATTAGAACAGAGTGTAGACTAAAGAACCTGCCTAAGA